TCCCATATCAGCAGGTGGAGGGAGAGAAAAACAAAAATAGTCATATCATTTTTTAAACAAGCCCCTGAAAAAAATCTGAGGCTCAAGTAGAGCCACAGTAACTATGTGGCACTTCCATGTTTTGAATTCATTCAGTGTGATAGCATGAGCAGTGCAATCTCCCATGGCAATCCCTACTGACAGCACCACATAGGTAGGCAGATAAACGCTTCTGAAAGAACCATTACACATACTCCCCCATAATACTGGGAGAACAGGGGATGAAAGGCTGAGCTTATGTTGAACACTGTTTATTAGGAGAATTATAAAACTGCACAGTTGAGCACAGAGGCAAATGTCAGGGGACTGCAGAAATCTCCCATGTTCATCCTGAAAGTGAAGCTGCACCTTCACCTGGCCAGAGGACAGGGCAACTAACTCCAGCCCACCTGGAGTGTGGAGATCCAGAGATCTTCAGGGGGAGACAGCAACCAAGACATCACTGCTCTTTCTTCAGAAGTAAAGCCTTTTGCATGTAAAGTGAGAGCCCTAATGTCCCTGGAACCTAAGGGTTTTCTGTACCAAGCTTGTTACAGCTGCATAAATATTAGGTTAAGAGAGATAGGGGGAGAAAAGGAGAGAGAGGGGGAGGGAGAGAAAAGAAAGGAAAGAGAGAAAGAAAAAGACAGGTTAAAAAAAAAACCTTTAAAAAAGGTTTTAAAAAAGGTTTAAAAAATGGTTTAAGAAAACCATAAATATTACAAACCAGACAAGAGGGAGGTAGTGTATTGTACATATGACCCTTGTTATGTGCTGTGATTTTTCACATTTGAAAAAAAAAAATAAACAAAAATTGACCTGTGTATTGAAATTTCACAGTTAAAGGTTATGGGGTTTGCCATTAACTGCAGCATCTTTTTCTGATATATCATTGACTTCAGAAGTTGTTGAGGCGTTTCTTTGATTTAAACTAAAATGTAAGCATAACTTAAGCTCTTGCAAAGTATGCATGGTCTCCTGCAAACATTCACATGCCCCAGGCCTTCTTCTTGAAGGCACGAGTGGTACAACCTCCCCAGTTGCTCCAGGAGAAATCAGGTCTCCCTTCTGCTCCCAGGCAGTTGCTCCTCACCAGCCCCCCAGGTGCTATTTCTAACTTCTCAGGAATAGGAAGGGCATGTGGAATTGCTGGTGTCAGTTTTGAAGGAAGGAAAACAAATTTTATTGAAGCTGTAAGATTTCATATATCCTCTGTAGGATGTATGTCCTACCCTCTGCAGCACTGTGAGTCCAGAAGGGTAATTATATGCTTTTTTCTGATACGAAGTATTTTAGTTTGTACAGCAGTGTATGCATTTTTTTAGTTATTCCAGATTGGTATATGATGCCAAGTCCTCGACATGCACTGTTTGAGTTATAAACCCACTTAGTTAAATTACCATTACACTCTCTCCCAGTTAAACCACCATTAAGAGCTGGTTCTGGAGCGGTACGATAATCATCCTTGATGTCCAGAAAAGCATAAGCTGGAGGGTACTGGCTGGGAGAATTGGGAATTAGGCTCCAGGTGTGTGTTCTCCCCCATGGAGACAGGGTAGGTCGGTGATTATTTTCTAGTGTGGTCAACTTTAGTATTTGTAGGGCTTGGCTCCACAACAAGCGTCCTCTGCACCCGAGGACGGGCTGACTGCGGACCCAGCTCCTCTGCACACCCTGACCCGCGCAGCTTCAGCGCAGGTCTGCGCGGACAAGACTCTGCTGGGCGTAGGGGTCTTCAGCAACGAAGTTTCGTGATGCTTCCCGAAAGCATTCATGGGCGCTGACTTCCTGTCTGCGCTCTGTGAATGGAAAGTATCAAAAAGGAAAGCAGAATACGCGCTTTTCGGGGGTGGGAATGTTATTTCCCAGGACCGCAGAAAAAAAGAACCTAAAAACCCCAACCAACCAACCAACCAAAAAGCAACAACCCCCTAAAGGGTTATTTCCCAGGGCCGAGCCCCAGGAATGAGTCAGGCTCCTCAGTGCTGCCGCAGCCGGCTGCGCCCGCGCCCGTGCAGCTCCGAGCACAGCGGCGGGGCCAGGGCCGGGGCCGGGCCCTGCCCGGGACCCCCCGGGGCAGTCGCCCCGGGCCATGCCTGGCCGCGGCGCTCGCGGCGACCCTTGCGGTATGCGGCTGCCTTTGGCAGAGGCACATGAAGGATTTCATTGAGTGTGAAGACAGAGAGCAGAGACAGAAAGCAGAAGGAGGCGGCTGCAGCCTTTGTAGTCGGGGAGGAATGCGGAAATGTTGAAGCACTATGTCAAACTTTTTTGAAACGGGGTCAAGTCACATTCAGCCAGCGTGGGAAAGCAGGGAAAAAACTTGAGGAGAGGGGGAGAAAAAAAAAAAAAAAGGCAGCAAGCTGCTGCTGCTCCCAGGCTGAGCAGAGGCCGAGACAGCGAGCGAGGGGAGGCAGCGCAGCGCAGCGCAGCGCCGGAGCAGCTGCTGCGGCGAGGGCCGGCGCCGAGCCCCGCACGGGCAGGCTGCGGCCGGCGGGGCTGCGGTCGCGGCGCTGCAGCTTCGCGGGGGCCGCCGGTCGCGATTTTTCTTTCGCGTTTTCGTTTTCCCCAGGCAAGGGGGGGGGGGGGGGGGGCGGAGCGGGCTTAGGGGGACGAGTGCGAGCTGCCTTCTGCGCCAAGGTGCAGCCCGGCGGCGGCTGGAGGATGCGAGCTGAGGGCGGCCGAGCCGCGGAGCAGCTACCTGTGTGGCCCGGGCGGCCGCTGCCGGGACCTGCCGGAGACATGGCCATGTGAAGGGGCAGACCCGGGGCCGGCTCTCCACCCTGCCTCGTTCAATGTGAGGTTTGTTTTAGGGAGGACTCACCCCCTCCCTCTCCACCCCCCCCACACCCTCGGGGCTGAGGATTATTTGGGGATCTGGTGGCGGTGCAGGCGGCCGCGGCGCACACCAGGTAACGTGGGGCGCCCATGTGCTCCGCGCACCCGGCCCGGCGGCGTGGCCCACAAGCTGCCCCCGGCCCGCAACCCCTCTGGGACGGCACCGGGGACGCGTCCCTGCGGCTGCCGGGGGCAGCTCGCCATGCCGTGCAGCCGCAGCCCGCCTTGGGATCGGCGTGGGGGCGCCCCCCGTGTCGGGGGCCGCGAAGGGGCCGCGGGCGAAGGGGTTGCCCTCCTGGGGAGCCACCGGGGGGGTTCCCTCCGCCTCCTGTCGAGTGGCCGAGCCGGTTACTCACCCCCCCCCCCCCCCACCGTCCGTCCCCTGAGAGGAAGCGGGGGTACGCGCTTCCCCGCGTGTCCCCCGCCGCCACCCCCCGCCGCGTGTGGGGCGCCCGCGGAGGGAAGCTCGGTGCCGAGGCGGGGGGGGGGGGGAATTGGGGCCGTGGCGGGGGGGGGCCACTCGCGGTGTCCCGGCGTGCCCGGGGAAGGCGAGCGCTGATTTTCCGCCTGGAGCCGCGGCCGCGCGGAGGCAGGCCCGTCGACCCCGCGGCCACGCACACGGGCACCTCCGCTGCCCGCCCCTGCCCGCCGCTCGGGGGCGCCCTCCGCAGCTGCGCGGGCCGGGATGCGGGCCGGGGTCTCCGGTGCAGGTGTCTGTCTGTGGGTCTGTTTGTGTGTGCGGGTCCCGGTGGCGGGGCGAGGCGAGGCGCGGTGGTCCGCGCTCGGTGCCGCCCGGTGCTGCGATGGGCGCCGGGTTGCACGGGGCTGTGAGGTGGCAGCAGCTTCGGCGGTGGCAGCTGGAGTCAGTGAGGAAGGCGGCCGGAGGGGGGGTGAGGAAGGGGGTCGGGGTCGCTTCAGGCTGCAGCCGGGGAAAAGCGGTGAGCAGCGGGCACGGGTTTTCTTCAGGTTGCTCTGCTTTTCTGCTGCGAATAAGGTGTAGGATCAGCATAAAGGTGCAAAATGCCTCTGGCTTTATGCGTGGATTCAGGGTAGAGGAGCCCCGACTGAGCTGTCTGGGGCTCTTTAATCCTAGCCTGGTGAAAACGCAGCGTAAGAGAGGCTTACAGCCCCGGAGGTCACCGTATCATTATATTAAAAAGAGGCAAGGGAAAGGGAGAGCGTTGATGTGGAGTTTTGTGAGGGGAGAGGATTTGCCCTCAGTTCTGCAGAAAGTGTGGATGGAACTGGATACAGGCAAACCGTGTACAGGAGGAAAAGCTTCTGCTCTCCAGCCTCGTGTGCTGCGCAGCAGAGCGTGCTGTTCCTGAAGACCATGTCTCGTTGGGCTGCTCTGGAAGGAGCTAAGCTGCCAGTCACACAGGCAGCAGTAGTTGTGTCCACAGGCGAAATCCTTGCGTGTCAGTACCTTTCCTGAAGTGTGTATTTCTGAACCTACCTCAGCACATGATGCTTGGTAACATAATTGTCAGCTCAATACGTACATATTGCTCCTCAACACGCATGCTTCAGGGTAGGAACTTGCCTCTTGCAATGTGTTCATTAAGGGCTTAGCACAGGGGAGAGCAAATCAAGGCCGAAACCCCCAAATGTTATTATTTACAAATAAGTAACAATGATATAGCATGGGATATATTCCCAAGACTCCACTGCATGCACTCAAGAGACCTTTGGGTCCTGCAATCCTGACATGGGTTGCTGTGCATGACTTCCTTGCATAGTTAGTTAGCTTTGCCATCCCTATCACCCATGTGTTGGAGGGTCATTGTATGCAACCCATTGCTCAGTCAGATCCCACAGCACGGAGTTGCTCTGTGGCTCTGTGTTACAGCCTTCTGCACAAACTGTGATAACTTTGTAGTGTTGTATCAGCCATGCAGGGACACTGATACACGTCTCCCTGCTGGTTCACGTCTTCGTTTGCACCACGTTTTTGCTTTGCATGCAGTTACCTACTATAAGAGCTTAATTTTCTTATTTTCTGAGCAGTGCTGAGTAACAATAAACTAAAGTCATTTCTTGCTTGATTTGTCCTCCAGATCTAACTGGCTTTATGCAGACAATGCTCCCAAAGACTGTACGATAATTCCTGGTGGCCAAAAGAGGAGGCACACTGGGGCCCTTACAGGCAGAGGTACCAAGTGCGTGGCCTATCTGCCAACGTGAACAACGTACTAATTATCAGAAAGCAAGCGAGACTGAGAGCCACCCCAAAACACTTGGAGCACGGGAGGAAGAGGAGTGGCGCCAGCATGGATAAGGACAGCACAAGCCTGGCTGACCAGCAGTATGAATGTGTGGCTGAGATTGGGGAAGGAGCCTATGGGAAGGTGTTCAAAGCCCGAGACTTGAAGAACGGTGGCCGCTTTGTCGCTCTGAAGCGGGTACGGGTGCAGACCAGCGAGGAGGGGATGCCGCTGTCCACCATCCGAGAGGTGGCAGTTTTGAGGCACCTGGAGACATTCGAGCACCCCAACGTGGTCAGGTGAGGAAGTGGGGCAGGTGTCCCCATCAGTGGGATCCTGGTTATAGTACATGAGTTGGCCAAGCAAGAGTTTGGGTACATAAATGGACTGGACACTCGTTTGGGTTTGCGGATGAAGTGAGCACTAAACTGTGTACATGGAATGTGGTTTGAGGTTTCAGCAGGCCGTGGTGCTGCCTGCCAGACCTCACCTCATCCCTGTGCATTGCCTCCCACACACACAAACACCCATCTCCAGAGGCATAGGTGTGTGACTTAAGTGTTTGAGTGGATGGGCAAGGAGCCATGTGTATGTTATTTCCTCAGGCATAAGAGAGAATGAGAAAAAAAGTCTCCCTGGTTTCGTCTCAAGTATTAGTTCTGCCAGCTGCAGCTGATTTTTAGCAGCTCTATTCATTATTGAAATAGCAAAGATGAGAGCAGTAGTGGAATGTGCATTCCACCTTTTTAGGTGGTTTTACAGGGAGCTGTAGATTATCATATAAAAAAGAAGTAACAGCTTAAGACTTCAAGCTTTGCAGGCAGCCTTGTAGTTGAATACTGTTTAGCTGGTACTAATTTCACTGTGTACTGATAATTGTGCTGCCAAGAGTGCAACAGTAGAGATATCAGGCCTTGCTTGCAAGATGGTGGCCATGGCCCCAGGATGTCCTTTCTGTTGTGTTGGTAGCAAAAACCCTAGATAAATGACCTGTGTTCTTGAACAGGTTCTCTCAGTGGTAAGGCTGGCCCTACTGTAGCCTCTTACAGTTTTTCTGTAGCTGGAAACCCCCAGCAGCCTGTGAGCATCTTTTATTAATATTACGAACTTTACGAAGTAAGCTTCACTTTGCAGATGCGCAGATATACAGTGATTTGAAACTGATCAGCATCTTACTGATGGTGCTGTAGTAACAAGAGTATTTCCTGCTATTTGTGTTATTATATGCACATATCGCATAGAAAAAGGAAAATACTTCACTAACACCAAGGCTCTTTCAGTCCTAGAGAAACAGATACTCTGAAGCTAGAGAAGACCTTCAAAATGGGTTGTAGCTGTGATCCTCTTCTTTTACAGTCTGAGATGAGGGGGTTTATAGTGGGTGCAAAAGGAAAGGTGAGACAAAGAATACTAAATACAAAGTGCGTAGCTGAAGTAATTTTTGTTCATCTCAAGGCAGCATAATACAACAGTCTGCCTTCTCTCAGGGTAGATTTAGAGTAGATATTAGGAAGAAATCCTTTACTGTGAGGGTGGTGAGGCACTGAAACAGGTTGCTCTGGGGAGTTGTGGCTGTGTTCAAGGCTAGGTTGGATGGGGCACCGAGCAAGCTGGTCTAGTGTGAGGAATCCCTGCCTGTGGCAGGATAGTTGAAACTAGGTGATCCTAACGTCCTTTCCAACACAAACCATTCTGTGATTCTGTGATTTATGTCTGAACTGAATAGGCAAAATGTGTATTCTGAAATACTGATAACGGAGAGCACATCATCAGTCTCACTGCAGTGAGCAATGGGATACAGGGTGCAGCTCACACTTTCCCACTGCTTATCAAACAAATCCACAGTTTGGTTAATAACCATTATTTTGACTGGCTCCCAGTAATGCCAGGGGCTTAGTCAGTAAATTTCAAAGTGGTGGGATATTTGTGTGGACGTGTTGGATTTGATCACCAAATCCAAGTGGCTTGGTTTACAGAGGAGAGCACACAAGGTTCTTCCTTGGCAGTAGAGAGATAATTGAGAGTTCTCAGAGTTTCTGAAATCCAGCCCAATAATTTATGAGTGTACGTGAGGATTTAGTTGTCCAGGTCTAGACATTTACATATTTGGAAGCTGTAAACGTTGTTCGGGAATAATTCAATATAACAATACTTACGAATTTTTTTGCCTGCCATTGGGATCTTTCCATATGAAGTAAAAGATTTTTAAGAACTCTTTAATCCTGAATTCAGCAAAACCTTGAAACTAAAGTTCTTGTTTTCCAAAGAGCTGTTTGATGAACTGACTATGCAGCTGCAGGCTTGTTTTGCTTGGGCTTAAGTGTAGTACGATCTTGACATAACGTTGCATAAATACATTGAAGCTAAAAATATTTTTACAAGTTTGAATGAAAATTCATTCTCTGCAAGCAGGATTTCAGCCAGCAGTATGAGAATGTAGTTTCAGTATAAAAATCCCTGAAAGTGTGTTCCAGGTCCTCACAGTGGTGTTGGGAAGCCTTTTGCCATAAGCTGCATTTCGAACACAAGAGATTGGTCTGTGATGTATGGGGATGCTTGAGACCTTGACTGCTCACCTATTCCCACAAACAGGCAGGGGAATATAAGAAGCAATTTCAAACATTCTCTCTTCTGAAATGTGAAGAATCCTGTTTAAAAACTTCCTCTGTTGTGCATGTTTTTAATCTGCAGAACAGATGAATCTGTAAGTAGCACTTTGGAGTGACTGAAATTATATGAAAGATTATTTGAAAATATTTAAATTCCCCTGTTCCGTTACAAATACGGTAGTAGTGTTTGTAATTTATCAAAATTAAAGGTCTATTTTTGTATTATGTAAATATACTCAGAAAAGGAAATACTACAAAAGGAGCTCTGCAGTTTTAAGCAGCTGACCTAGCTGTACTTAATTATTGAGCATGTTATGCTCACAAAAATGCTCATTGTTTGGGCATGCGTTCTGGAAACTGGTATAAAGGCCAGGCTACTAAATAAAAATAATGTCAAGTGCACTGTCTACATGCTGGATTAAAGTGTACATCATTTTCAGAGCACTGGGATAACAACACAAATACTTGAAATCAAGGGTTCTCTTTTATTTTGAAGGGACATCTAGCTTTTTTTTCTGAATATTACAAGCAACTAGCCTGAAAGAAATGAGAACTGCAAATTTGAGGTTGAATCTGTTAATTATGAGTAATGGCATGTGTGCAAACCAGCAGTCATCCTGTGAATCAAAATTTAGACAGACTTAAGACAGATGAGGTACATACCCCTGTGCTTGGCTGCGGTGCTCTGGCATCAGCTGGCAGCAACGGCAGAAATTACAGTCCATGTGAAGTTACGCTGGACATGCTGATCTCACTCAGTGTGTCAGGTTGTCTCCAGAGGGTAAAGTTCAGAGCTCAGCAGTCCACAGCTTCTCTGTCTCCATGAAGTAATGCTGAATGTGAAGCGTAATTTGGTAAGGAAGAGACCCAGTACTTGCTAGGCAGAGGTAGAGCTCAGTGGCTTTGTTGGTTGTGGAGCCAGGATGCAGGGCGAGCACTGCTGCTGCAGTCCAGGTTTGTCATAGTGGTTGTAGATTCCCTTCCTCTAAAAGCCTGAGAAATGCTTGGAGCACTGGAGGGTTCCAGTGCTTGGTATTTGGAATGGAAGGGAATTTTCTCCATAAAGTGGAAATGTCTAAATAGCGCAGAATAATTTTAAACAAATATTTATCCTGTTTTTCCATGCTACTGCTAATTATGAGAGCTATGTTTCATGTTCCATCTCTCCAAGTCTGTCGTTTCCATGTTCGTACAATGAAGAGGCACATTTTTTGCAGTACAGTTGCTTTTACAATGATAATGAAGTTAGGTAAGACTTCGCTGCAGAATGAAATAAAATGAGGTGCAAAACAAGGAGTGAAAGGAAGTCTAATCTTCATCAGAAAAGTGGTGGTATTGGAAGACTCCGGACTATTGACTGTGATGGTGGAAATAAGGCCTGAAGGACTGATCTTAACTTTTGCCAGACTGTCAGAACAGCACACAGAAAGGCATGGGGAAAGTACAGTTAAAAGCATGAATTCAGTGTGCTTAAAATCCTCTCCTGCTCTCATTTGCCTTTGTTTAAAGTTCCCCTCCGTCAAGGACATCTTAGTCTATTCTATTTATCTTCACAAAGCAAAGTAAAAGATAGACTCCTCAAGAGTAAATCTTACTGTGAATTGCTCCAAAATAAGGTATGTTGTAGGCTTTGAAATGTCCTTTGTAACTGGTAGGATGATTGAGGTGCTCTGCTAGCTCACCTTTCAGATAATAGGATGTAATGCTTTAGTAAAGCTTTACTATATACGGTAGTCAAAGCTGGCAAAAGTTGGTTCTGCACTTACATAGCTTAGTGCTGTTCTGTTTGGTAAAAATGAAATATATGTAGACAAAGGACAGACTTTGCCAGGAGTAAATGACATATTAGATTCAGGAAATTCCTGTGTGTAAAACTGGGAGTATTCCCTGCTGTAATATATCTCTAAAAATTCTTCTTGTGATTATAATGCTAAATTCAGCAATATATTGTGTTCATTTTATCTCTCTCTCCTGCTGGTAATCAGATGATTAATTTTCCCCTAATGTTAATCATACATCAAACTGTGAATTTGCACTCTGGGAAGGCGATGTAAAAGAATGCTGTAACTCTCGCCGTGCTTGTTTTCTAACATATATATGTATTTAACAGTTTTAATAGTGTTCAACCTTAAGCAAATAGAGTAAACCTGCAAAGCTGTATATTTTTGCTTCCTGGCTTGTCGTTTTTTCGATAAATACAACTTTTTAATATTTTCATGGGTTAGTAAGTCTTCAAATGTAAAATAACCAAAATTATATTGAATATAATCTATTAGAATATAATATTTGGGTTATTATTTCAGAGATAAGTGCCAGAAATCTTGCCATTCAAGGTCATCATCAGCATATGACAGAGAATTAATCTTAGTTCTGTCCTTCCTTGCAGAATAGGTGCCCCAGCTAACTGACTTAGGTTCAACAGGATGAACCACTGAGCTGGATTATATTCCTCAGTCTGTTTGGTACACAGATCAGGTGGGGGGGAGGGAATGGAACCCAGTAATGATGAGTATTTGCACAGTTATGCTGTGTTCAAGGTTTTATGTCATTTTATATCACTGAAGAATAAATGCCGCTGTAAGCTGCCCTCTCTGGCACAACATGACAACTCTCATGTTGCTTTTTCCCTGCTTTTTCAGTCCAGTGATCCGTGTTGCTATCTCTTGGTTTGCACTTGAGTTGGTGGTGGA